GAAGAGATGCCATCAGAGCAGCAGCTTGGGTATCTGGTTTTCAGTCTAGCCCTTGCTCACTGTAGAACTTGGAAAACTCGAGCTTCCTTTTTTCAGATGCAGTCCCTATCTGTTTATGAGATGGACCCCAACAATAAAGATGATGATCTCTGAAGAAGCTGCAATGAAACTCTTCAAAGGCAAGTTTTCAAAAGTTAATCAATTCTCTGCCAATTTCACAAATTCTGGTCGTACTCATCCCTTCACCTTCTCTTGTCATCCTTTCACCCCAGCCTTCATCCATCTTTGTTAACCAAATCTCCATCCCATTCTTTTGTGGGGAAGGAAGAGGACAGAGAATTCCCCTTCTCCTCTACTCAAAGCATGAAGTTATCACTCCACCAAATTTCTTTTCTCCCCAAACCCAAACATGAGTCATGCTTTTGTTCTTCTTGCCACCATTAAGAGAAAAACTAGGAATGTTCTTCTATAGTCACAAAATTGAAAAGAAGGGCCAGCATTGGAGACCTAAAGTGAGAATGAACAATTTGGCAGGCCAACAGGGCAGCCAGACAAAGTGATATGGAGCAAAGCAGGTCAGCTCAAGCAGATGCACACCAAAGTCCAGAAAGAAAAAAAATCAGCCCCGTGTTACTTCTTTATCTCATATCCCTCAGACTCATTCTCTCTGGAGGGTGAGAAAGGTACAAATGGCAACTGAGAAAATGGTTAGGTACAGCAAACCAAAGAGGCAGGCAAGGAAGACTCCAGATATGTAAGGAGGTAGGCAGGGCAGATTGCAGTTGGAAGTATGATATAGAGGAGCAGAAGAAAGGAGGTCAGCACCCTCAGAGGTTCTCTACACTAGGCAACAATAGATAGATGTTGCAGGGCCATACAAGATACAAATCTTTTTGCCCAAATCATCTCCTTAGGACCATCAACTTCCCAGGACTAGAAACTCATGAAGAGCTATTCTTAACAATTCTACTGCCCTGCAGGACAGAGATTTTTATTATTAATTCTTTCATACCCCCTCCCCATACACAAATATCCAACAACTAAAACAGGCTGCTCAAGAAGAGAGATAAATGTGGTATTTTCTTCCTGTAGAAGAGAAATGGCTGGGGTTTAAAAAAACCAAGGAACAGCTGCGTCAAAGCCTCTTCATGGGTTATGGGAAAGCTCACCTTCATTAAACTGGACAATTTGTACAATCTGCATTGTACAGTTTCTTGGATTCATCACAAGGATCTGAGACTTATAAAATCAGTCACAGAACACACTGAAAAAAATTGACTTATTGGCATGCATTCCCAGTCCAGAAGAGGGGTGATCCCAGGGAAGAATATGGGCCTCTGAACATTAGAAATCTGGGGCTTTTTCAACCCCTCCTGTAACTACACACATGTTCCTAGGCTCTCTCCTCTGCACTCATTCCCAAACCCTAGCTTTGCCAAGTGGTCAAACACTCATGCACACACACTGTCTTTTCTGAGTTCTTATCATGGTCTGAATCAGCGGGTGGGAGGCAGATTGGGCAGATACTGAGCGTCTGGGAACCCATAAGACCAGTATGACTTCTTGAATAGTCGTCTGTCCTGGCACTGTCATAGGTTGAGGAGAGACAGATTCTTCCCATATGAGGTCAGAAGTGGAGCATAAGTGCTCACGTGAGAATGCTTGGTTATTTCTTCTAGTGGGGTGGGGAATGCTTTATTTGGTATAGAAAATAGCATAGTTCAGCTTCTACAGGGTAGTGTTCAGGATGCCTCATGGCTCTGGGAATAGAGGTCTGGCAGACTTATTTTAGAGGACAGTGGGATCATGCCAGTCCTCTATCTGTTTAAAGTATATACCCAAGGAACATGGAGAATTTAGTGTTGTAAACAGATCTGCTTAAGACCACGATTAGATGCTCATCAGGACAACTATGGGGAACTGGAAAATGTCTCAAATGAGGTTTTATTTTTACATTATTTTACTATATATTCTGTATTACCTCATAATAAAAGTTTTACTGGATGAAGCTGTTAACTGACCACTAAAGACAAAGATAAGGCACAATTCACCTTTATTTTCCTGACACACACATTTTCACACACATGAAGATGAGTTTACATTGAAATATTAGAAAATTGTTATCTGTAGGTATGAGATTAGCTGTCATTTATTCCTCCAAATAATCCTGATACTGTTTTAGTGTAGGAGGTGACTTTGAGAGGTCCTAGAGACAGTGGAAAGCACACCCAATTTATTTCTGTCCTAATATAACTTGTTCTTCAGTGGAAGATAGATAGTAAAAATGGAATAAATGTAGATAAAATAACCAAATTTTATTAGTTAACCAAAGCTGAAGACAATCTAATAGTTAGGGTAGTCAGAGAAATATCCTGGTCAGAGCTCAACATTTCCATCAAAGCTTGAATACATGTCAGAGCACTGGAAAGGAACGTACTGGTAAAAGGGACAGCAGGTGCGCTGTCCTGAGGCAAAACACTTTGGATGTGCCCTACGGACAAAGAACCTGCAGGGAGATTGTAGCATACATGTCAAAGAGAGGGTAATGCGTGCCAAGATGAAAGATAGAAGTCACATAACCCAGGGCCGATTACAGGAGTCAATCTGAAATTTTTTTAGATGTGTGTTAGGCCACCATGAGCATTTTCAAGGTAGGTGGATGCTTAAATTCCCATTCTATAATATTTTCTAATCTAATTTTAGGAAACATTTTCTAATGGTGGCTTTAATACCAGCATTCAGGAAGCAGAGCCAGGTGGATCTTTGACCCAAGGCCATCCTGCTTGAAGAGCTAGTTTTAGGACAGCCAGGGGTACACAAAGAGACTGTGTGTAGAAACCATGCCCCCCAAAAGAAGCAAAGAAAGAAAGGAAGAAAGGAAGAAAGAAAGAGAGAAGGAAAGAAAGAAAGAAAGAAAGAAAGAAAGAAAGAAAGAAAGAGGAAGGGAAGAAGTGAGGAAGGAAGGAAGGAAGGAAGGAAGGGAGGGAGGGAGGGAGGGAGGGAG